TTCTTCCCCCCCATCCCCAAGTCTAATTGAGGTCGAGACAGACCATAAATGCGATAATATAGATTGCATGCTCAGAGGAAATGGAGTTGGTTTCATAGTGGAGTTTTAATTTAGGATTCGTTCTGGTGAGGTAGCCTCTTCCTATGGTACATTACTTTGAGCCCAATATAACTGCATTTTCCCACAGCCCCTCATTATAGCTACAGCTTCTCATTGCTTTTTAATTAAAAAGAGAGAGAGACAGAGACAAAGAAAGAGAGAGAGAGGGGAAAAATGGAACCTGAAGCTTTAGGTTGGATATTGTCTGGGTATGCAGGGAATATTCTAGGCAGATTGCTTATTTAATTTTTTAATGCTTTCAAAGCTTTCATGGCGATGTCTTGATTTTTATTTCTAGTCAGATGGGTATATATATATCTCATCCATTATACACAAACAAGGCTTCAAGATTTTTGTAAAGTTAAAAATATATATTTATATATGCATATATATATATATAATATATATGTAATATGTATTTTTGGAGCTTCCTATTGGCTTTGAGCAAGTGGGAACCCTTTGTGTAGCCTGGAGAGGATACCAGCTATGTAGTTGGCTGGTGGCAAACGCTTAGTGAGCATTTGTTCCACTCCCCACCTGTTGAGAGTAAGGCAGGGAATTGTAGAAGACTAAAAATCCTTAAAGGCTGATGTTCTAGTACATCAGAAGTTAGGAGTTAATCATTTTTCTGCTGTGGGTAGCAGCAGCCGAGAAATGACTTTGTTAAGAACAGTTTCTTTTGTCATTCTTTCATCTTGAGGGATTCCAGACACCTTTCAGATACCCAAACAAATTAATCTCCAAAGGTGACTGGTAAGAATGGCTTAATCCTCTTGGGATTGGTTGTGTGAGACACAAGGAGACCTCAGGCCTGAGCTGCTGACCTCTCTCTGACAGGCTGTGAGTGTTCTGTTTCCTTTCTGGATCCAGAGCCCTTTGGCTCTTCTGTAGCGAAATCAGTTTGACAGCGCCTCGGTTCTTCCCCTCCTGCATATTCTTGCTTTGTTTTATGCAACTGAGCACTCCCTCAGTGGTGAATATGGGTAAATATAATCTAGAAGTTTATTTCTGGGTCAGTGTGTTGTTAGCTTCATAGATTTTAGTGGGTGATCTTTCATAAATAGGACTTCAGCTTTGTATGAGTGCCTATTTCATTCATTGTTGCCAGAAACCCAATTTTATTTTGACATTATCAGGGAACAGGAACCCCTCAGATGAAAATTCCTTAGACCTGGGATGTCAGTAAGGTAGCCACTAACTGCATATGTCTGTTGGGCACTGAAATGGGGCTAGTTCTGTGTTGAGATGCATCATGAGTGTAAAATACATCCACCAAATTCCAAAGACTTAGTATTAAAAAAAAAAAAGAAATACATCATGAGTAATTTTTTTATATTCATTGCATGTTGAAATGATAATATTTTAGATATATTAGATTAAATTATATTAAAATTAATTTTTCCTATTTATTTTTACTTTTTAAAATTTGGCTGCTAAAAAATTTTAAATTAAATCTTTGGCTTGCAGTATATTTTGACTGACTGCTGTGTCCTAGACTTTTAAGCCCCTTGAGAGCAAAGCAGTGTTTGTCTTATTTTCACATGTGTCCCAAGTCCCCAGCACAGTGCCTTACATATAGTTGGCATTTACTATATATTTGTTAAAGAAATGAATTTTTAACCTTTATTACTTAGAGTGGTCAGATTTCAGAAATGAATAGAAATTTCTCTATTTGGAGGGTTATTAGTATCTGAAAAAGAGAGAATTGAGAGTTGAGAAGTGAAGAACAGAAGTTCTTAAGATTTTGCCTTGGGAGAGAAGAATGCTGAAATAAAACATATCCAGGCCTTTGAGCAACTTACCCATCTGTTGGAGAGTGGGATGGGAAGCTGGTATGTTGGTGAAGGAGCCATGTTGAACTATCCCGGTGGGTTTTCCTGTATTCGTTCTGTCATAGAGTTGTCCTCCATGAGAGGAGGTAAAGCTGAATACCCTGTGTGAAGAGGAAGGAAATTGGAGATACAGTGGGTAAACCTAAAGGTTTCCCTCTTAGGAATGTGCTTAAAATTCTTCATGAAGATTAGCAAAACTATCCGTGTCTCCCCAAATCCATTCTAGCAGTCTATCCCAGGTCCCCATTTAGACATTACCCTAATGGAAGCCTGGGACTGGTCCTAGGCCAGGCTGATTGCTCGAGGATCCTTCATGCTTTGGAGTTCTCTAACAAATTATTTGTTGAATGAACGGCCTAGCAAATGCTATTTTAACTTGGCTGAGGTCTTGTATGACTTAGGTTCATGGGTATTTGTTCTTGGCTGAAACTCCCTCAGATCTGTCTCAGTTAGGGTTCTGGAATCATGGAAATTGGCAAACTTCCCAGAGATCAGTTTCAACTTTTAGAAGGCACTAGGTTGTCTTTATAGGAGTTTATTAAAGGATCTCAGGCATCCTGTCTCCCTGCTTATAAAATAGAACTGTTAACTACTTCTCGTCCCCAGACATGTGGTGAATATGAAAAGGAGCGCTTTAAGTTCTGCAGAAGGAAAGTGCTATTTCATTGGAAATTATTGTTATCAGTGGTAAAAATGAAACTCCTCCCTGACTTCTGAAATGTTTGTTTTACAGAAGTAGGATTAGAAGATGTGTTTGAAAGAGCCACTGCCAGTGTTCTTTTTTGCATTTTTTAACTGTGGCTGAATTTAGCTTTCCCCTTTAACTGTGGTCCACTGCCTTTTCTCTCTGCTCTGAGATAAACAATCCAGAAATCTCCTCTCTATGGAGAACTATGGAGTTCATGCTTTGACTTGGCTGCTGCAATAGGCTCACGCTAATCAGAACCACAGCAGGGCTTATTTTATGAGCCCGAAAGAATTAGTGCTCCTGGGAGGGCTGAAGTTCCTTACCTGCTGGGGAGCTACAGATTTCCAGTTTAGAGCCTGCCCTCCTTTCGGAGCTAACTACCTCATTGTCCTTCTCACCTGAAAACCACCACCTCCTTTTCCTTGTACTCTGTGGTTACTGCCATGTTGATTTCCTTTTTCTTCTCCTCCTTTTAAAAATGTAGATGGGTAATAATGGCAGCAATTTTGGTAATTTTTGTATTTATGGAAATAGAGTGTGATCATATGAAATTATAATCTATCCCAGGGAGACTCAGGAACAGAGCAAAAAATAGCAGGTGGTACCCCACAAACCAAATTGTCTAATGTGAGTTTTCTAAGCAGTGTTGTATGCTGAGGCTTACTGGAGCACCTGGTATGTGGACCCAGCAGGTACTTGAATACAGAGGGGATGGCTTTGCACCACTAGGGTGGCAGAGTTCAGTAACAGTGTGGCTTATAAGTCACAAGATGAGATGTGTGACATGTAGAAGAGAAATTTGTTATCACCAAACAACTTAGCAGGATGGCAGTGAATGCAGCATTTTCTTCACTTTGCTAATAACATACCACATTGCACCCAGCACACTGTTGGTGTGTGCAGTTAATATAACAGATAAAGAAAAGCTCATTGAAGAGTCTAACACAAGTGTTTTGTGTTGGGGAAGACACAATCATTTGATGAATTAACTAATAGAAATAATTTTATATGCTCCCCAGGTGGCTCAGTGGTAAAGAATCCACCTGCCAAGCAGGAGACGTGGGTTCGATCCCTGGGTTGGGAAGATCTCCTGGAGAAGGAAACGGCAACCCAGTCCAGGATTCTTGCCTGGGAAGTCCCCTGGACAGAGGAGCCTGGCGGGCTACAGTCCATGGGGTCTCAACAGATCTTACATGACTTAGAAACTAAACAACAAAAATAATTTTAATTTGTCTGGTATTATTATATGAATCATTTAGAGTTCTTTCACTAATGTTTGCAGCCATTTGGTACAAACTTCCAGTTATGAGATAAATAAGTTCTGGGAATCTAATGTATAACAGAGTGACTATAGTTAATAATACTGTATTATGTACTTAAAAGTTACTAAGATCTTAAATGTCCTTGCCATCGGGGGTGGGGGAAAATGTAATTATGTGAGGTAATAGAGTTGTTAACTCACCTTATTGTGGTATCATTTCGCAGTATGTGTGTGAATCACATCATGTTGTCATGTGTACACTTTCAACTTGCACAGTGATTAAGTTCTTAATGTCAGTTTATATTATATTAATGTCAGTTATATCTCAATAAAGCTGAAAAAAATGGTTCAGATACACAAAGAAACATTTGTTTTTAACTACATGGGGAGAAAAGGGTTGTAATCTCCATTTTCAGAGGAGATAATTAAAACTTAGAGACATTAAATGAGGTGCCTGAAGTTGCACAGTAGTACTTGGAGCTGAATGGAGGTATTGGACTATTGGGTGTCTAGTGCACTGTTCTTTCTCCTCAGTTCTGAAGCCCATTTCAGAAGTGCCCTGTTTTATTCCAATTAAAAACTGCTGTTTTGTGACCGTGGGTAATCACTGACCTTTGGCCTTACTGTACTCGCCTGTAAAGTAGGAATTTAAAGTGTTGTAGACCCTTGGAAGTTATATATGTAGTATTCTCTGTTTGAGCTGCTTGTGACTATAATCTGTCTCAGACCTGAATTAAAACCATGTGCTAAGGGATTGGTATTGGAGACTGAATCCTAACTATTAAATTGAGCTTAATTAGCTCAAAGTGACTTTGTTGCCTGTGGTTTCTGTATAAACGAGAACTTTTGTGAAGGGCTAACCTTTGTGTCTTGAAAAAATCCTGTAACAAATAAATTCTGTAACAGCTATCTTGTAGGTGAGTGTAACCCTGTATGTATAGAATCTCTAAGGGCCTGAAAAATAATGACTTAGAGCTTTACTTCATTTTGTGGTAGAAATTGTGTCCTCTGGTGCTTTTTGGTTGGGGAATTTTTGAACACTTTTGGAATATTTGGTGTGTACGCCCTTCTACATATTTTCCAGCTCTGAAATCCTGTGTTTCTTTTTTGTCTCTCTTAGCCCAACAGGGGCACAAAACGTCCCCGGGATGATGAAGAGGAAGAGCTGAAGATGCGTCGGAGACAAGCTGGTACTCGAGAGCGTGGCCGCTATCGGGAGGAGGAGATGACTGTGGTGGAAGAAGCAGATGATGACAAAAAACGGCTGCTTCAGATTATCGACAGAGAGGGTGAGGAAGAAGAAGAAGAGGTAAGGTGGCAGAAATGGGCTGGGGGCTGAGATGCTCAGCCTTGACACAGTATCTGTAGGGTGTAATTTGGGATTAAATGCTTAGTTTCTCTGAGCTTCCCAGCTTAATCTGTAAAATGGGGTTAAGAATATTTGTTTCACTTGTTGATATGAAGATTAAGTGGAGTTTGGAAGGCATTTTGCAAAGTGTGATGAACATTACAGATAGAATTTTTAAATTATTCTGGATTATATATTATAATTGAGGCCCAAGCACTGAACTGTGGGGCTGTTGGTATGGACTATTGGAGGAGGATCACGGTGGTTTCCTAGCCCATACTGAGGACACAGAGAAGGCACTCATTTTTAAGCACAGTCGATAGTCTTGGAAAGAGGAATAGAATTTTATCAAACAAGTGGAAGAAGGGCCTTTCAGGCAGTTAAAATGGCCTTACCAAAGCAACAAAGTTGAAATTACAGGAGGAGGTAAGGGATTAGGTGTTTAGATGTGATTGAAAAAATGCTGTTTAGGGAAAGAGCTGCCCAAGTCCTTTCTATTTGCTGTTCCTCAAGTTGCCTCAGGGCCTTTGCACTCACTTCTGCTTCTGAGCTTTTTCACTTCTGTGCCCTCTTGAGAGTAAGTCATTCTTTTACCCTCTCACCACTTTATTCTGCATATTGTCTTCACAGCTCTTGTCATGATCTGAAATTCCTATTTGTTATTTTACTCATTTGTTGTCCTCTCCCCAGCCTCCTCTGAAAACGGGGACTGGCTGTGTTTTGTTCACAGCTGTGTCTCAAGCATTCCAAGCAATGCCTAGCTCTTGGTATAGGCCCTTAACTAATATTTATTGAATGAATAAATGAATGAAGCTGAAAAGAATAGAGGTAAAATATCAGCGATTAAAAATCAAGTGACCTTGCCTTTGTGTCTTTTTAAATCCTGAAGTGTTAACTTGTATATTATTTCACTCTGGCATTTTGTTCAATATGAATTATGGAAATAGATTCTTAAGAGCCAGCTGTTTTTTGGTTCCCTTAAAGACACGATGCTAAGTTTGGATTTAAAAAAATGAAGCTGGAGTATGAATCTGAGAAGAAAAAAAAAATTGATTCATATTCCGAAAAAGGTCTTTACTGTGTTATGACAATAGCCCTCTCCTCATTAGGATTTGCACCAATGCTAATTTGGGGATCTGCCCCTAAAAGGTGGTGACACTTTGGAAGTCTGTGGTGGGAGACAGTCCTGAATTTTCTCTCTGAGGACAGCAGTCCTGCCAGCCTTAGACAAACAGTGTGTGTAGCACCTTCTCCCGCTTGCCCTCCCTCCTCACTAGCTTCTGCTCAATCTGTTAGCCCTGCAGCAGCAGTTAATTGGCAGGTATAATTCCCATGTGGGGCACTGCTGGTACTGGGGGATTAGGCTAGTAGCTGTCATGGGTAAATGGTTTCTAGCCTGGGAGACAGAAATGCAGTGTGGGACCAGCCCTTCTGGGAAGGGACAGGGAAAGAGAGATCGCTTTGTAAAAATGACACATGGAAGGCTACAAGTCCAGGAGTTATTTTCTCTCTGCCACTGAAGTCCCATTTGATGAAAAACAAGTGATGTTTGCCCCTGTAAAGTCACGTGAACTTGTAAAATATGATTGTCCTTTTTGTGCTACATCACCAGCATTCATCTTTCTGAAATCTCCCTCTGGTTTCTGACGTTGAGCTATTGGAGATACTGCCGTGCCTGATGACTAAGACTGATAATTCAGTTTTACCCCAGTGTTGGAGACAGATTAAAGGAGGGAAGGCCAAACCTTGGAGAGACTAAGACTTTGGGAATCCTATGAGAGCTGTATTATTAACACTAATACAGTTTTCTTCTACAGGGTGGTCAGGATGTTAGCCAAGAGAAAGAAGAGCCATGGGTATTGAAGTTGCTTAAAAGTGATTTAACCCTGTCCTAGAAATGTAGATTATTTTTTAGTTAAATCCCAGTGATAAGTTGGATGCCTTAACAGTCATGCTAAGAGTTACAATAAGGGCCTCCCAGGTCGCTCAGTGATAAAGAATTCACCTGCAAAGCAGGTGACACAGGTTTGATCCCTGGGTCAGGAAGATCTCCTGGAGAAGGAAATGGCAACCCACTCCAGTATTCTTGCCTGGGAAATCCCAAGGATAGAGGAACCTGGCGGGCTACAGTCCATGGGGTCACAAAAGAGTCAGACATGACTTAGAGACCAACCAAATAGCAATGAGTTACAATAATAGCTTACATTAATATAGTGTCATGTAGTTTATAAAACAGATTTATGTACTTCATGACTTTAGGTCATCTCTATGACCTTGAAAGATATAGGTAATAGTTTTCCCCTCTCTGCTTGCCTTCCTTCCTTCCTTCAACAGATCTTCATTGGATGCCTCCTGTATGCCAGGCCCTATCCTGGGCACTGGAGAGTCAACAGTGAACAAGTAGATATGGGGCACCAACGGGGATTTGGGGTTGGTGAGATTACTGGGCCAAATCCTGCCAGACTGTCCTTATATAGGTCATGTGAACAATTTGGAATTTTGTTCGAAATGCAAGTGGATGAACTCACACATGAGATGGAATCGATGAGACTTGATGAGGGTTTGAAGATAATATATTCAGCAAAGTAACATTGCTACGTGGGTAGTAAGTAGTGAAGCTAAAGCTCTGAGTCCTGACTGGGCCAGAACATTGCCTTCAGTTTTTACCAAGTCAGGGAACTTCTCTTTAAAGCCGTAGACACTGTGGAGCAGGTTGGGGGTGGGGGTGGTTCCAACAGAGTGCCTCAGGGTCCAGGAGTCATTGATTAAAAACCTAAGAAATGTGTCATGCCCAAATGAATGTTACAGGTATCTCCTATTTAAAACTCAATATGTTAGAATCTAAATTTAATAAAATAATAGCTAACATTTTTGGGAACTTAAGAGAATTATGAGATGATTCAGTGCTTTCCAAAAGGATCTATTTCTGGTTCTCTTAATGGCAGTTTCTTTTGGTGTGAGTTATGGTCAGTGACCACAAAGCTGTGAAGCTAGGAGTTGGGAGAGTGTTAGAGAAGCAGAGTGAACTGCAACACATTAAACTGGGAAATAAACTGAAGAAAAAACATTTCTGAAATTTTAGTGTAGATTTTTTTTTTTTGGAGGAAATGATTGTGTTTTCAAAAATTCATTTTATTTACCCTTGTAGGTATTATTCCAGTATATGAGAGCTGAGAAAACTATGTGGCCTGCTGGGTTTTTTTTATGCTTACTCTCATCAAGGTTACTAAATTCTTGTTGCTGTATCAGGATTCCAGGTCCCTGTTTGATTCCCTTCTCAGCAGCTAGGATGGGCTAGATACAGTGATGTATAAGAAACACAAGGCAGTGACTGTTGCTGCTTAACAACCATTCTTATCTTGTGTATGTGTGTGTCTGCTTAGTCACTCAGTCGTGACCGACTCTTTGTGACACCATGGACTGTTGCCCATCAGGCTCCCTCTCCATGGGGATTCTCTAGGCAAGAATACTGGAGTGGGTTGCCATTTCCTCCTCCAGGGGATCTTCCCACCCCAGGAATTGAACCCCAGTCTCCTGCCTTGCAAAAATAGGCTCTAAGTTGAATTTGACATGTGGACCATAGTTTGCTGACCCCTGGTGTGGGGAAAAGATTGAGGGCCACTGTCACTGACTCAGGGTTTGACCTTGAACAAGTTCTTTTAAACCTCTGAAGATTATCTCACCTGTATGAAAGAAGAGAAGGATGAAATAAATATTATATAATATTCCTTTACTGTTGTCACTTATTCCAGTACCATACAGTATGCTCAAGAAGTATTTGTTGAATGAGTGAATCTTTAACACCTTAAGCTGAACTTCCAGTGCTAAATGTGAGACACACAGAGTAATGATACTAAGTAGCACATGGTGTAGACCCTTAGCCCTCATTCTAATGGAGGGGTATGTGTGTATTATACACTTAATCCAGAAAGGTGAGTGGTAGGAATGGCATGTAAGGGCCACGAGAAAGAAGTAGTGATTAATGAATAAGAAACAACCCCTTTGGACTGAAATTGTTGCATTTGTCTCTTTACACCAGGAGGAACCATTGGATGAAAGCTCAGTGAAGAAAATGATCCTGACATTTGAAAAAAGATCATACAAAAACCAAGAGTTGCGGATCAAGTTTCCAGACAATCCAGAGAAGTGAGGCTCATTTTGCTGTTTTTTGCCATTTCTCCTCTGAGATGTTTTGTTTGCTATTTTTTGTTTTGCTCCTTAGGAGTGTGTTTTGTCTGCTCTGGTTTCTGTGCTTTGGGTCGGGAATCCCAGGATGACTCACTTGATTAGGAAATCACTAGAACTTCTCTCGGGACTCGGAATCATACTCTCGGGTACACAGTAGCATCAGCAAGGGGAAAAGACACATCAGGCAGTTTGGAGAAATTCATATACAGGCTTCCTGTGTTTTCTCCCGCCCCCTGGGAGGAGTCAGCAGACAGGCTCCTTCTTCCAGCAATGCAATACATCATCGCATGTGCCCTGTTTCTGTTAGGGAAGCCCATTTGAGACTGAGACCAGGATGTTTATTGAAGACAGACCATGGCATTCTCTGCCAGCAACAGCTACTAAAATTGCCGGCTCACAGAAGGAAAGCAGATGTTCAGTGCCCCAGATGGGCAAAGCAACCTTATCACTTAGGAACTGTTTCAAAAGCCAGGTTCCCAGATGCCAGCCTAGGACCTGTTTACTCTTTTTTGCATTTCTCTTCAAGGCCCCTAGAAAACTGACCATGGCTGCCAGTAGCGATAATTTTACTACTGAGAAAATGTCACAGGCTTTGGGGTTAGACAAATATGGGTGTGACTCCCACATGACCTTCAGTAAGTCAGGTCTCCTTTCTTAGCCACAGGGGTCTCATCTGTATAAAGAAAGAGTAACTCCTTCACAGAGATGTTGTGAGAAATAAATGAGAATAACGACAAGGGTTTAGCTCAGTATCCGGCGCATAGTAAGTGCTCATGAAATGATAGTTGATCTGATTGCTCCTCAGTGCACTATGAAGTGCTGTAATAAAGACTCTGATAACTTTCAATCAGTTTTGAATCCTAAGTAGATTTTCATATTTATATAAATTTTAATGTCTTAAATCTCTCTTTCTCTTCCTTCCTCCCTTCCAGGACATATACTTTTAATGAATCTTAATATTGTCCCTAGGCAATGAGGAGTTGAATAGTATAGTCTTTGCACTCAAGTTTAAAGGTTACTAGGGGTCAAAGAACTCTGCTCAATGTTATGTGGCAGCCTGAATGGGAGGAGAGTTTAGGGGAGAATGGATACATGTATATGTATGGCTGAGTCCCTTTGCTGTCCCCTTGAATCTGTCATAACATTGTTAATTGGCTATCAGTTCAGTCGCTCAGTCGTGTCCGACTCTTTGCGAACCTATGAACTACAGCACTCCAGGCCTACCTGTCCATCACCAACTCCCGGAGTCCACCCAAACCGTTGTCCATCAAGTTGGTGATACCATCCAACCATCTCATCCTCTGTCGTCCCCTTCTCCTCCTGCCCTCAATCTTTTCCAGCATCAGGGTCTTTTCCAATGAGTCAGCTCTTTGCATTAGGTGGCCAAAGTATTGGAGTTTCAGCTTCAGCATCAGTCCTTCCAATGAACACCCAGGACTGATCTCCTTTAGGATGGACTGGTTGGATCTCCTTGCAGTCCAAGGGACTCTTAAGAGTCTTCTCCAACACCAGAGTTCAAAAGCATCAATAAAAGATTTAAAAACAAATGACAAACAGTCAGTCTGTAAATACATGGTAGAACAAAGTATACTTTAAAAGAAATACAAGAGGAAGAAGCAGTGAATAACAAGTTGGGGCTTATTGAGAGCTTCACAGAAGAAGTGGTATTTGAGCTGATTTTGATTTTAGTTAGGCCGAAAAGAACAGGGAAAGGCATGCCAGGCAGTGTGACCAGCAGGAACAGAAGCACAGGGATATCTATTCTCACGTCAACCTGGAAAGGCTGGTGTCCACTGCATTCTCTCTGTATGGTAGATGAGGAGGTGAAGAGAGGAGAACCTGGTTACTGGACCTCAGGCCACAGCCCCCTTTGATGGTAGGAGTGGCTAGATCAGAGCTCAGCGTTCCCAGAGCCAGAGTCCCGTCTGGTTTTGTGCTCTGATGATGGTGTGATCACTCACCCACAGCCAGACGTCTTGGAATGTGAAGTCCAATGGGCCTTAGGAAGCATCACTATGAACAAAGCTAGTGGAGGTGATAAAATTCCAGTTGAGCTATTTCAAATCCTGAAAGATGATGCTATGAAAGTGCTGCACTCAGTATGCCAGCAAACTTGGAAAACTCACCAGTGGCCACAGGACTGGAAAAGGTCAGTTTTCATTCCAATCCCAAAGAAAGGCAATGCCAAAGAATTCTCAAACTACCACACAATTGCACTCATCTCACATGCTAGTAAAGTAATGCTCAAAATTCTCCAAGCCAGGCTTCAGCAATACGTGAACCGTGAACTTCCAGATGTTCAAGCTGGTTTTAGAAAAGGCAGAGGAACCAGAGATCAAATTGCCAACATCCGCTGGATCATCGAAAAAGCAAGAGAGTTCCAGAAAAACATCTATTTCTGCTTTACTGACTATGCCAGAGCCTTTGACTGTGTGGATCACAATAAACTGTGGAAAATTCTGAAAGAGATGGGAATACCAGACCACCTGACCTGCCCCTTGAGAAACCTATATGCAGGTCAGGAAGCAACAGTTAGAACTGGATATGGAACAACAGACTGGTTCCAAATAGGGAAAGGAGTACATCAAGGCTGTATATTGTCACCATGCTTATTTAACTTATATGCAGAGTACATCATGAGAAACACTGGGTTGGAGGAAGCACAAGCTGGAATCAAGATTGCTGGGAGAAATATCAATAACCTCAGATATGCAGATGACACCACCTTTATGGCAGAAAGTGAAGAAGAACTAAAGAGCCTTTTGATGAAAGTGAAAGAGGAGAGTGAAAAAGTTGGCTTAAAGCTCAACATTCAGAAAATTAAGATCATGGCATCCAGTCCCATCACTTCATGGCAAATAGATGGGGAAACAGTGGAAACAGTGGCTGACTTTATTTTTCTGGGCTCCAAAATCACTGCAGATGGTGACAGCAGCCGTGAAATTAAAAGACACTTACTCCTTGGAAGGAAAGTTATGACCAAACTAGACAGCATATTGAAAAGCAGAGACAATACCTTGCCAACAAAGGTCCATCTAGTGAAGGCTATGGTTTTTCCAGTGGTCATGTATGGATGTGAGAGTTGGACTATAAAGAAAGCTGAGTGCCGAAGAATTGATGCCTTTGAACTGTGATGTTGGAGAAGACTCTTGAGAGTCCCTTGGACTGCAAGGAAATCCAACCAGTCCATCCTAAAGGAAGTCAGTCCTGAATGTTCATTGCTAGGACTGATGCTGAAGCTGAAACTCCAATACTTTGGCCGTCTGATGTGAAAAGCTGACTCATTGGAAAAGACCCTGATGCTGGGAAAGATTGAGGGCAGATGGAGAAGGGGATGACAGAGGATGAGATGGTTGGATGGCATCACTGACTCAATGGACATGGGTTTGGGTGGACTCCAGGAGTTGGTGATGGACAGGGAGGCCTGGCGTGCTGCTGTTCATGGGGTCGAAAAGAGTCGGACACGACTGAGCGACTGAACTGAACTGAACCACCATACGACATGGGCTTCCCTGATGGCTCTGTGGTAAAGAATCCACCTACCAGTGCAGAAGATGCAAGAGATGCAGATTCGATCCCTAGATTGGGAAGATCCCCTGGAGGAGGAAATGTCAACCCACTCCAGTATTCTTGCCTGGAAAAATCCATGGGCAGCAGGCTACAGTCCCTGAGGTCGCAAAGAGTCGGATATGACTGAGCAACTAAACACCACCACCACCACCATACAGCAGTAATTATATTTGTCCATAGTGCCATGTGTGTGTGTTTGATTATGTAAGTAATACACAAATAGACTGTCATCATAAAAAATACCCACAGTGCGTAAGTAGAATGAAAAAGCTTTCTTTCGCTACACTGACCTCCTTTCCATTCCCCTACTTAGAGATAGCACCTGTGAACACTTCTGTGAGTATCCTTTTTCATTATTTTATGTACACTGATTTACATTATATATATTTAAGTATGCAAAAATTTTTTTCCTACCTAAGTCATGCTGTACTTATCTTGTACCTTTAATTTTTGGTCATGAAACAGAATATCTTTCATTGTTACTATATGCATATTTACCTGTGTTTTGTGGCTGTTTGCATAGTATTTTGTGGTTTGGAGATAACCATGATTTATTTGTTGTGTTTCTATAGATGGACATTTGGTTATTTAATTTATTTTTGTTTAGTCTCCCTTTTTTATTGAAGCATAGTTGATTTACAATGTTATTTGTAATGCTGACTTTTATGAGTAATACTGTAGTGAACCTCTATGTACATTTGTCTTGGCATACATGTGTTTCTCTAGGATACATATCTAAATATTGAATTCCCAGATTGAAGGCATGAGCATTTTAAACTTTGATGTGTGCGTGTGTGCTCAGTCATGTCTAACTCTTTGTTACGCCATGAACTGTAGCCTGCCAGGCTCTATCCATGGGATTTTCCAGGCAAGAAGATAGGAGTGGGCTCCCATTTCCTCCTCTAGGGGATCTTCCCAACCCAGGGATCAAACCCGCATCTCCTGCATTTCCCGCACTGCAGGCAAATTTGTTACCACTGAGCCACCTGGGTGATAGCTATTGCCAAATTCCCCACCATCTCCTTTAGTTCTCCCATCAGCAGGTCTCCTTCCCTGCATTCTTGCCCATAATGAATTCGATCTGCCTTAACATCTTTGCCATTTGTTTTATTGTTGTTTCTTTACTCAGTGGTCTTTCTGCGTTCAACTCTGCTCCTTTTAGGTGGACTGTGTATTGCTTGTCTCTGTAGTACCTAGCACAGTGCCTCCCATACTGCAGGTGCTCAGTAAACATGCAGTTGATGTCATGTTTACTGTATCCCCATTTTTTGGAACCTAAGGCTACGTTACGAGGCAGCTATGCCACGGACTGATGACACTGGAAATTTAAGAAACTCAGTTTACTTATTGAAATGCCAGTATTGCCTTTGCCCATTTGGTGGGTATAC